CTATCCTATCCTATCCTATCCTATCCTATCCTATCCTATCCTATCCTATCCTATCCTATCCTATCCTATCCTATCCTATCCTATCCTATCCTATCCTATCCTATCCTATCCTATCCTATCCTATCCTATCCTATCCTATCCTATCCTATCCTATCCTATCCTATCCTATCCTATCCTAAAGCAGATCAACACTCCTGCCTAACTTGGTGTCATCTGCAGACTTACTGAGGGTGCACTTGATCCCCTCGTCCAGATCATTGATAAAGATATTAAACAGAACTGGCCCCAATACTGAGCCCTGGGAACACCAGTTGTGAGTGGCCACCAACTGGATTTAACTCTGTTCACCACCACTCTTTGGGCCCTGCCTTCCAGCCAGTTTTTTTTTACCCAGCGAACTGTACGCCCATCCAAGCCACGAGCAGCCAGCTTCTCCAGGAGAATGCTGTGGGAAATGGTGTCGAAGGCTTTGCTACAGTCCAGGTAAACAACATCCACAGCCTTTCCCTCATCCACTAAGGGGGTCACCTTGTCATAGAAGGAGATGAGGTTAGTCAAGCAGGACCTGTCTTTCATAAACCCACGTTGACTGGGCCTGATCGCCTGGTTGTCCGGTACATGCCGTGTGATGGCACCGAAGATGATCTGCTCCATACCCTACCTTGGCACCAAGGTCAGACTGAAAGGCCTGTAGTTCCCCGGATCCTCCTTCCCGCCCTTCTTGTAGATGGGCGTCACATTTGCTAGCCTCCAGTCAACTGGGACCTCCCTGGTTAGCCAGGACTGCTGATAAATGATGGAAAGTGGCTCGGTGAGCACTTCCACCAGCTCCCTCACTACCCTCGGGTGGATCCCATCTGGTCCCATAGACTTGTGTGTGTCTAAGTGGTGTAGTAGGTCGCTAACCATTTCCCCCTGGATTATGGGGGCTTCATTCTGTTCCCTGTCTTCCAGCTCAGGGGGCTGGGTACCCCTAGAACAATTGGTCTTACTATTAAAGACTGAGGCAAAGAAAGCATTAAGTACCTCAGCCTTTTCCTCCCTCAGCAGGGGATGGCCTGCTTCTGTGCCTTTAAGATTTCCTTCTTGAAGAATGTCCAGCCTTCCTGGACTCCTTTGCCCTTCAGGACTGCCTCCCAAGGGACTCTGTCAACCAGGCTCCTAAACAGGCCCAAGTCTGCCTTCTGGAAGTCCGAGGTAGCAGTTCTGCTAACCACCCTCCTTACTTCTCCAAGAATCGAAAACTCTATCATTTCATGATCGCTATGCCCAAGATGGCCTCCAACCATCACATCACCTACGAGTGCTTCTCTGTATGTAAACAACAGGTCTAGCGGGGCGCCTTCCCTTGTTGGCTCTCTCACCAGCTGTGTCAGGAAGTTATCTTCCACACACTCCAGGAACCTCCTAGACTGTTTCCTCTCTGCTGTATTGCATTTCCAACAGATATCTGGTATGTTGAAGTCCCCCACGAGAACAAGGTCTAACGATTGTGAGACTTCTCCCAGCTGCTTATATATAGTCTATAACAGACTCCCACCATGATATCTGCCTTGTTGGCCTTCCCCCTGATTCTTACCCATAAACACTCAACCCTATCGTCAACATCATTAAGCTCTAGACATTCAAAACACTCCCTAACACTCCCTACATTGATGAGATCCCCCCCGAGCCTTCTCTTCTCCAGACTGTGAGAAACACGCTCACCATACTGAATTTCAGTCGGGGCAAATTCGGTGGAGCAAAGAATATTTATTACAGCGCTGGGAGTTACACAGGGGATTTCTCCTCCTGTGGCTCGTTTTCCCCTTTACAAACGCTTGGTTTTATTTCGTATTCCTTATACTTATTCATGTTTTTTCTTCGAAAATAATTTGCATAATCAATGAGTTTTCGGAACGCAACCCACCCCCAATTACATAATCAATGAGTTCTTGGAATGCAACCCACCCCCCAATTATATAGTCAATGAGTTCTTGGAATGCAACCCACCCCC